AGTTATATTTTCTAAATATCAGGTATGTTTCTCTAAAATCTCACTACTATGCCTTAAATCAGACATTCACAAGTTCTCACCTGGATCCTAAATTGCAATGGTAATCTCCTGGGACAGAGAAGTCCCTTCCTTTGGCTCCAGCCCTCTTCAAAATAATCCTTCACTGGGCTACTATAGCAAAAGTACTACAAGATACTTCTGGCCATGTCAGGGCTTTCTTGAACCATTCCAGGACCAACACTGGCCCATCAAGAGGATGTGAACAATCCCATAACATTTTATGGACTGCACGGTACTCTTTTTTATTTGCTTATATGTCTTCTCCCTTGGGTGATAAAAGGGGTTGTACTTCAATTCTTTAAAACCTTGGTATACAAAATGTGTCAAAGTGTTCAGTGATTTCATTTTAAGTACCACATTGCTTGTGAAAGTAAAAATTACTTATCCTGGCATTCAAGGACCTGCATATTTTTGTCAAGTGTAATTTTTATAATTTTTCATTATTTATTTGTTATACATCCAGTCACTAGTCAATTACTAAGTATTAAACACAGTAGTAGATGTGAAAAACAGAAATATACAAATTTATATTATTTCACCACAATAATTTTATTTATTTACCCATGTTTCCAACTTCATATCTTAGCATTCCATGCAGAAAATTCTTTAAGCTATATCCCTATTAAAATTATATTTTAAATAAAATACAAAGACTATCTCTACCTGAAAGCCTTCCTTTGAATCCTCAAATTACTTTCTATCCTGTTTACATCATTTACCCTGATTTTCTCAAGTTCAATTACTTTTATACTTATATTAACTTTGCCCCCAAATTCTAACCACGTTGAGACCAAGAACAATGCCTTATTCCTCTGTGTATGCCACCCTCCGACCCCACCCCCACCCCGACTGTCTCAATGTACTCAGCAAAATGACTTTAACACACACATACTTAAGAATTCACTAAAGGTATTAATTAAAATGGAATTCATCACTAACCACATTGGATGATTAACGGCATTGCCATGGCTTGTCTTCTTTGATACTGAACAAAGTCCAAAGATTGCTCCACATCCTTGTTATTTTGATATTCAAGGTCGTTCCAAAATAATGATAGATTCCTATTGCCTGAAGAAACAAAGAAAGCAAACAGGAATAATAAAAATAATACGATCAACAAAATCAAAATGATTAGATAAAGTTTGATTATGAATACATGAGTGAAAAATATGGTCTCAGCCGTAAAATTGAATACCTATGCATGAATAAGAGATTATCACTGAGTGATACGATCCTCAGATTGATTTTCTACTCAGATATTTCTTTGTATTTTCCAAACGGTATAGCGACATACTTTGCTTTAGTGTCTGCAGACACAGGTTTCTATAAACTGATGGTTTGTCACAAGCCTGCGTCAAGCAAGTCTAATGGGGTGATTTTTCCAACAGAATGAGCTCAGGCCAGCTTATGTTTCTGTGTCACGTATTTGTAATCTTCACAATATTTCAACATTTCAAAAAGCCATTTCACACTTAATAAATTACAATTTCCTATAAAAATTACTTTTGTACATGCTGGGAATTATTTTTGTTAAATAATGTGACTTACTTTATTGAAGTGGACTGAAACCAAGCTTGCAATATCTTTGATGTATGCATGTATAGTAAGTGTGCAAAAATATTTTTAATAAAATCAAGCACATTATCAGTACTTTAAAAATATGATTTGTGAGATAGATAGTGAGGTAAGAGTCTTCCAGGACAAGGAAAGACACCATAAGACACCAAAGACACCACAAAAAAGACACCATAAGACACACACCCCTGTGGAAAATCCTTGCCAACTCACTATGGTCAGAAGACCAACATCCACCAAGCATAAGCAGGAGACTGCCATATAGTGCAACTCCACCCAAAAATCAATGCACCAAAAGCAATTACCAAGATAACATTGCCTCAGAGGGGAAAGAAGGCAAGAATGAAGCACCACAAACACAGCACACTGATATGAAGGGATATAGGAAAACACCCAATACAAAAGGTACAAGATGACAGCAATGTATCCAGAGATGGTGGTAATAACTCTGAATATCAATGGCCTCAACACCCATTAAAAGAAAAAGGCTACCAAACTGGTTCAGAAAACATACCCCATCAATCTATTGCCTGCAAGAGACACATCTTAAACTCACAGACAAAATTAGACTAAGAATAAAAAGCTAGCAGAAAATACACCAAGAAAATGGCAATATGAAAAAGAAAGGGTTGCAAACCTAACTTCTGGAAAAATTGACCTCACAATCCATATGTACATCCATTTTGTCAAGCACATAAGGTAGCTCAATTTCCATTTGCTTTAAATATCAGCCAATTGCTTTCCATAGAAGCTGTACATATGTACATGACCACCAGCAGTGGAGGAGACTCCTTGTCTTGCCACATCCCCTTCCAACATTTGTTGTTCTCTGAGCTACCTTATGACCCAGCTATCCCTTTACTGGGCATATACCCAGAAGAGATAAGAAATAGACCACGAAATGAGGAGCTGATACCAGGGGCTCAAGTTGAGAGCAAATGTTTTGATAATGATGAGGGCAACAAATGTACAAATGTGCTTGACAAAATGGATGTACATATGGATTGTGATAAGAGTTGTATGAGCCCCCAATAAAATGATTTTTTTAAAAAGGAGAGAGAAAGAAAGAAAGAAATAGACCACAACCAGTCATCTGTGCTCCAATATTTATTGTGGCTCAATTCACAATTGCAAACAATTGGAAACAACCTAAATTTCCTTCAATAGATGAGTGGCTCAAAAAACACAATGTAGTACTACGGGTCACTGAAAAGCACCGATGATCACATGAAGCGATCATATGATTGTCTCATGGGAAGAATTGGAGGAAAGTATGCTAAGTGATGCTAGCCAGTCACAAAAGGACAAGTACAACATGAGTCCCCTGAGATAAGTATAATCAGCGCAGTAGGTATAGAACAAAAGCCACTTATCTCACACTGTACAGGTTGAGGTACAGGCAGTCAGGTAGGGGACAGACTAAACCCAAGGATGTACATGTTATTCCAACACAAAGAAGGGGAAAAGAGTGGAAGAGGGATGGAGAAGGGGGGAGGGGGGAGATGTCACTGGGGGAGCAGGGCACTAACCCACCCAGAGTGAGAATACTGGTTATGTCTCCACAGAATTGGGAGTGTGCATGCAGACCCCACCATGCCGCACCAAGCCTTGAGAGCAGCATAACCACATGGAGCAACTCATGAAAAGAGTGGGCTACAGGACCGGCCCCAATCAGAGCCAAACTGACCTCCTCCCTAGAAGCATGTGCTACAGAGGACAACACTAAACCGACAGGCTGGAGAGAAGGGTTGGCATGCCATGCCCACACAGAAGCAAACCAAGAAGGAAAGAGAGAGAGTGAGGGTCTAAACTCCATATCTGCATACCAAGCCTAGAAGACAACACCCTGCACAGAGCTGCTAAGGCACAGAGAGAACTGTAGGCTGGAAAACAGCTCAACACACATGCCCCCTCACTGGAGCATACCAGGACAGAGGACAAGACTGGGGACACACAGCGGGAGTGAGTCTGGTCTCAAACCCCCCTAGTGGGGCGAACCTAGAGGGAACAAAACACATCAGCAACAGGAGCAAAGCCAAGCCACTAAGGCCCCGAGGAGTCCCCAAAATTGATTTCATGCTATAAGAAGTAGTTCCCAGAATCCCCCAGGACCAGTGGGAAGATAGTCATAAAGGTCAGAGGACAGACCTTGAATTATGTATGCTTTTTTATTCAATCGTTTGTTTTCTTTTTGTTTTGTCTCCATTATTGTTGGTTGGCCTATCTATGTAAGACAGGCATGAGAAGTGAGCCCACGGGACTGATGATTTGGAGGGACTTAGGGGGAGGAGGTATGGGACGGGAACAGTGACCAAACAGTGTCATAGACGGGAACAACCAGGAATTTAAATTCAGCAATGAGGAGGATGGAGAGATCCTATGGGTGTTGGAGCCACTGAAATCTATCTGAGCAGAATTACTAAGAGACAGTAGAAGGGTGAGTGTGATGGTGGAGCAAGAGGAAGGTAAAAGGAAACAAAGGAAAGATCTAGGAAGTAAAGTTATGGATAGAGGTGTAAAATAGGTGTGCACATACGTAAATATATTAATTCATAAAAATAGAGGTATTAGCCTAGGTACATATACTTATATGGCAATACATTGAGGTAGTGGACAGATTTTGGGCCTCTGTCTCAATGTAAGAACACTTTGTTCTAACAATCTGGCATTCTGTGATCACCCCAAGCACAATGGCTAAAAACAAAATGCGTGCACAAGCAAAAGTGATGAAAAAAAACTGATGGTGCCCAGCTATCAAAAGATATAGCGTCTGGGGTCTTACAGGCTAGAAATTAAACAAGCGGCCATCCAGTAGAGTAGCAACAAGCCCTCATGGAAGAAGCACACCAGCCTGTGTGATCCTGAGGTGTTGACAGAATCAGGTAACAGGCATCAGAAGACCCAAAACAAACAAACCAAACATATTGTTGAGAACGAGAGGGTTTGGAGCAGATCCCCCAAACCCATCTGTAGACAATGACACATTCCCTTACAGAAGGGTCACAAGGAAGGGATGAGTCAATCAGGGTGAAGGATAGCACTGATGAAACACAAC